ACCGGGCCCTCGGCAACCTCAAGCCGAGTGTCATTTTCCTCCGGCAGGAGGTACAACGCATCTCCAAACTGCTCGACATCACACAAAGCGTGCTTCAGGATCTGGTCGATGCCATCGACGGCAAGATCATCATGAATGAGGGCCTGCGCGAAGCGATGGATTCGATATACTTTGCCAAGGTGCCGCCCATCTGGCACAGGGTGAGAGTTGATGTCGGCTGCATCATGACTTTTAATCTGCAGTTTTAATTAACACGAAAGGATCATCGACGGAGATACAATCAGAGAGCAGGTGGACAATCTATATCATGGATTTAGCTGTCTAATGTTCGCTAGGCAGTCACTGAATAGCGACTTCTCGTTAAGCCTTTGGCTATTTACTGACCATACAATTGGTTGATCTGGTCTTTGGGGGAAGTTCTCTTCCAAACGTTGAACCCATTTTTCAAATCCAATCACATCGGAGTTTTCGTAATTCGATGTAATTTCTGGGGCATTTTCTAGGACACTTAGATTCCCTTGGGGAAAGACTGCTCGCCAACTGTTTCTGTCATTTTTACGGCAAAACTGTGCAAATTTTTAGGCCTCATGGGATTCAACGACCCTGGGTTTCTGGTTCAAGGAATTGACCGACAGGAACCACCAACTCTCGAACTGGCTGTACACAGGCCAACCCAAGTCCTTCTGGTTCCCTGGTTTCTTCAATCCTCTGGTAAGTATGCACGCACGCACATTGGAGCCATAATCACATGATGATTTAGCGGTTTCTGTGGTGTCACTACGCCGAATTTCTCACCCAAGTCTGTTGAATAGCCCGCCTTGGATAAATGGATGTCATAGTTAGGACAAAGGATTTTTTCCTAATTGAGGATCATCTAGAATTTCTGGCGTTCATGAGAACTCGATTCCCAACCTGCGCCAAACTGTCAGAGACTCAGTTCTTTGTCCACATGTTACAAATTTGTGCATTTCACTGGCGCGCTGAGGAGGGTGCTGTCCTTGTTGAACTGTCTCCTCCGTTTAGGGTCTTCTCACAGCGTTGCGGCAGGAGGCGAGTCGTTCTCACATCGGTTGGTCTCTGGAGTTCGTCAGTCTGGACGTCACGGTGACCAGGTTCTCCCACGAGGATGCTCCAGACGTCGCCACCGGCGGCCCCAAAGAGAACATCTACATCCACGGACTGTTCATCCAGGCGGCGTCGTGGGACAAACGCGGTGGTCGCATTGTCGAGGCCAGGCCCAAGCAACTCTTCGACGTCATGCCGGTAATCAGCGTGACCGCAAAGTACGACCTCACGCTGGAGGAACTGAGGCAGCAGCATCAGCTAACCGCAGAACAGAATGCCATTTTGAGCAGTCAGAAGAATAACTCGGCTTTGATCAAGTATGGATCGATACGATCGTCCGGCTTGTCTACTGATCGAGTAAGTGCGGGTGGAGATCATGCGATGTGGGCTGCAACGCTGTTCTGAATATTTGACGTGCTTGAAGTACACAAAGTCGAGGACTACGTATTTATGTATGTACCTAATACTGACTCTGGTCTCAATTTCCCTCTGTGCTCTGAATTTAGTCGCCATCGCCGCAGGAAATGTACGGCCTGGCTGAAGACCGACTGAGCGTTCCCATCTACAAGAAGGTTCAACGCACGTCGCATCACTTCATCACGAAGTTCAAGATACCGTGTTCGAAAACCGCCGATCACTGGAAAATGCGCGGCGTTGCACTCCTCTGCGATGTTCATTAAACTCTCCTTGTTCGGGGACTAATTTGGTTCATTGATAATTGCCATTTGTATAGTTCCATTTTAAAATGCATGTTTACAAAAGTAACCAATGAGGGTGATGCTTTTTGACATTTCTATAAGTCATCTGTTAATCGCAAGCAAGCCGAACTCTGATTTGGTGAATGGATGGAAGAACAATTTACTGTGATTCCATTAAAGCTGTGCGTTACACGGCAGAACATTCGATTTTAGCTTTTTTTTGTAAAATGTTAAAATTAATTGCAATTGAACTATCATCCTCAACAACCAACAGGTGCTGCGTTGACTCTGTAGTAAAATTCTTTAGCTGTTGACTCAACAAGTTCCACTAACCGCGGCTTGACAGAAGCTACTCCATCCCCCCTGTCGCGATCAATTGCGAAGTGGCACACCTCTGTTCATTGTGACATTTTAATTGGATGTCCTCGCAAGTGACAATATCGAGTCAATTGGAAGCGGTAATGACTTGGTCTTCAATCTTTGAGACCTAGGAATCCTGAAGTTCAGAGAGGAATATCGGTAATTAGCAACGCTCGTCAACGTTGGATTAAATAGCCCAATGAAACATGTCTTTCACTCTACATCTGGGTCGCTCGTGATTGGGTATTTACGATACACTAATCAATAAACTTGTAGTGGCTTGTGGTCTAGCGCTACCTTACAACCCTTTAGTTAACAGGCCGTAAAAACCGGAGAAGAGTGGAAAAAGAGGCGACAGAGGATACGACCGTTTGTTAGCGTCACGCCAGCCAAGTGTGTGGATGAGTGAACGAATGACAGGCGTCGAATAACAGTGGCCAATAAAAAAGGGATGGGTCATTGTCACCGTCAGGTCAGTAACCAGAGTTCACTCAGGCGCGATCGCTGCTAATCCGCCACAACCTTCCTCATTTTGCAACTAATTGCTGAAATAGCATAAACTGGTAAATCAACAACATCCATAAAGTGATCTGCGACTCGTCTCAACGCCACTGACCTTGCTAATCCTTAAAAACAACTACTCCGAAGGACATTTTTCAGTTGGTGTTGTTGGATTCCGAGGCAGGAATACTTCCGACACATTCAGTTTCAAGGTTTTCTAAGTAGTGTTAGTTGAGACCTACTTAGTTCACTTTGAATAAGGGGAATTCGCCTCGTGGAAGATTATTTGCAGTTCTGAAAACCGATTAAACGGTGGCAACATGCAACTCACTGTTGAAGCTGCTCCTACACAACCCCAAAATCGATGTTACATCACACCAAATGGCCATTCAAGTCTTCCTCCTCGCACAATGCACATACCTAGCTGGTGTTAAAAGACTGTTAGCTGTTGTGTCATCTTTAGAAACGTCGCTAGCATTCAACAACTTGTCATGGCTTTCTATCTAATCCCGAATAATTGGGTTTTTGCCACACTGACGTCTAAAACAGCGAACCTGCTACCTCCCTCTACATCATGCACCACGTGGTTTTTTGGTGCATTAATGGGAATTAATACTTATTTCCGTGGTGTTAGTACTGGAGGGCGGTCGCATGTGATCACAAGATGTGAATTCCTGGCACAAAATTTGTTTTGATCGGCGTACCTCCAGGCAACACTACCAACCAATGCGAGTTCAGCTGCTCCAAGGCAGGACGTGACATTATCAGCTGTTCCTCTTGCAACTACGATTTCTCGGTACGCTGGGATACGCGCAACCAACGAAATTGTGCAATTTATCGCACCTGAATAGTTTCCACTACCTCACTGTTTACCACCCACCAATCAGTGTTGAATGCCTTCCTGGAAGTAGTTTTTACTGGTTTCTCTTAATATGACTTGAATCAACGCTTGAAAAATGCAATGCGAAATATCCGGATTCCATGGTAGCCAATTTTTTTCCCAAATTCAACCGGAATGTAAAAATTCTTGGATTTTCACCCGATTATTTTAGCAAATTCCTTGGGGCTCAATAGGTAGTACTCTGAAAAACTATTTAATTTAGACAAACAAAAATTTTAAAAAAGAAACATGTGTGTTCTCGTTCCTATCTATAACTTGTCACAATCTTTTCTTGAATGAGAAGTTATTTGTCTTTAGTTTGAGGAAATGTCAAGGTCAAGGAAACATTTAAACAACGGTACAAACAAATGCTTTGCATTTAACTTTAGTAGTTGAAAGAAACGCCAGTTGATTTGCACTTTGACACAAAGAACGAGTGCAGATGCGGGCTGTTCTCTTCATTCCGGTCAAATTTGTGACTTGTGATCACATGAACAGCCAATTAGATACTATTTGCCGAATATTATTGGTCAACGAACTAGCCACGAAAGACCTCTAAATTTTAGTTATTCATCGCTAAATTTTAGTTACATTTAAGGCAGTAAATCTCAGCACAAAATTCACATAGATGAATTCGTGAATATCTTGTAGAATTCAGAGATTTCACGTAGTCCCTTGACTCCCCTAGACAACTTCAAATTTGACCTAAATTTATGCTCTATGCTTTCACATATTTTAAAGACAACAACTTTCACTACTGATAAATTAGATTGCCAAGAAAGTTTGGCATTTTGCTTCCTGTGTGGAGGATAGGATGCCATATTTCTGAGTGCGTTCGACAGGCCCTCTACTGCGCAAGATGGTGGCACTGAGGTCGCAACAGTTGCGGTAATGCGTTCCATAGCGCTGCTTGAATTGATCCTGCTACTGCGAATGCAGAATTTTGAGGCGGTTTCTTCAAATACCAATATTTTGATGTTCGTTCATAACTAAGAACTACAATTCTACTATTAACTCATCAGTGTATATGCCACTTAAAAGCTTGGAGAACCTAGAATACACAATATGCGGCATTTCGCATGTTCGAAGCCGCGCTCGATGTTCAAATCGTAATTTGTTTGAATCGGTGATATTGGTATTGATTAAAACAAAATGTATTAAGTGAATAGAAAATCATTCATCCTTTGTGGATTAAAAGTTACTACACAACGGCTATCACTGCATCGTAACAGAGGACGCTCAGCTACAAATTGCTCTTTATTTGATTTCGCGGTTTTTTAACTGCCAATATGTCACAGGAAAACCGTTCACTTTTACAATGGCCGCTATTTCACGGCGTATTAAAAACAAAAATTGCAAATCGTTATTTTTTGTCGCTTTTTGAGTGGTTAACTTACTTGGGAGTAGCTTCTATCAGCTGTTTTTAGTAAATCTTACATTCGGTAAATGCTTAAAGCTGTTTTATCCCTTTTTTATTAAAATTACATGCCATATTCAAAACAGCAGTCATTCGGTAGACGCTTCAAATTCTTATTTGGTTATTCTAAGTGCATTCTTGTTAAACAGTTTTTAACAGCAATTTCTTGTCGAAAGGCATCATGAGTTTGAAGTTTACCAACCCAGTCACAACTCGCTCACAGAAACGCATATATGTGTGTATATCTTGTCTAAAAGTGCATAGCACACTCAACTTTGACGTTGCTAAAATCCACTTTGTCATAAAACGCTCTTATTTAAAGGGAAATTGGGAAAGAAAAGCATGAGCGAGGTACGTTGCTCAGATATTGAGCCACAAGAGTGACTGCAAAGCAGGTTTCACGGGCATAGGAAGCAGCTAAAGCAACTGAAGCTAAAAGTCCTACTCTTGCGCGCGAGCAATCGTCACTTGTACATCACGCCAGCCTTCAAGCCCTGTCCAGGCGGTGGGGCCGCCTTCCTAGCGTGGAGTTCGCAGTACAGGGAGTTGTTGATGTAGAAGTAGCCGACACTGCGGAGGTTAATTCCACATTGGGAGCACTTCAGGCAGTCTGGGTGCACTGGGATAGAGCCGTGTACCTTGATCATCACCCCGGCAATCGGACCACCGCACACACCACACTTCAGCGAAGGGACATGGCTTGCCGGCGCCGAAGCACCGGCTGCCGACAGAGCGTGCTCAAAGGACGCGGACGCGTGGCGTTGGGAGTAGAGTCCCATCGGGGAGTTGTACTCCGAGTGGAGGATGCGATGAGTCCGTCCCTCGTTGTTTCGCGTGATCACAGACTGGCCCGGTGACGGAGCCTGCCCAAAAGGCACGGGGTTCACGTTGTACGAGGCTCCGATTGGTGGAGTGTAGGGTGCCACGAAGGTGCCCTTCAAACTCGCCTGGCCGTTGTCCATGACACCCCGTACCACCGACTCCTCCACGCGTGCCGACATGGGCTGGATGATAGTCGATGTGGTCGTCATTGAGAGTGGCGGCACATAACCTCCACGTTCGACCGTGATCTCAAAATCGTTACTCGACCGGATAATCTCCATTTTAGCCTGTTCGTGTGTCAGGCGACGAGTGTCGGAACGGTTGATGCGCAAGACCAAATCACCGGAGCACAGACCGCAGCGTTCCGCCACGCCACCCGGAGCGACGCGTTGGATGTTGAGTGGGTGACCCACGTCAGTGCCACCCTCCAGTCGAAATCCCCACGGTGTGGAGCTGTCCTCGCGGACAAGTTTCACTGTCACCACTTGTCCGGGCATAGTTTCAGCAACAACTTTGCTGCCGAGCCAAATTATTGCCCGCGAGGCACGCTTCCGCGCACAGGCGTGCACGACATGCACACGTTCGAGTCACACCAGCCAATCAGACTCGGACACTGCCCCGATCGATTGTCTGTCGCCTCTTAAAATAGCACTAGTTAAAGTCACAATTTCAATGGCGACAAAGTTTTTTCATACTCTGTCCCGCGTGCCTTTCCCACAATGTGGCCACTGCAGTGAAATTACATCGTGGTGTGACCAAAGTAGATTTGATCGAAACCTCATAAGGCCACAAAACTTGACCACGATTAAATCTGAGCTAAAAAGTCATGCAAATGACGGACATAGTAGGTTACCGTTGAAGAATTTAAGAAACGTAGCGGATTGTGAGCGAATGCATGTGAGTAAAAGCTTGACTAAACAGGTTCACTGAAAGCCGATTGGTTATTGTGACTCACAAGTATTTTTTCATTGGTCACTGCTTACAAGAAATCGATAAACACGTCCTGTTGCCTTTTTCATTAACGAGTGGTGGTGATGAAATTATGCTGGATGCGTCAACAGAAGTACGGTTTCTACGTATTAAGTCTGGCTCAGTGATGTCACAGTGACGTTATAAGTAGCATATAAAAGAAGGACAATTTTCATGGTAGATACTAAAAAAGCGGTGTAAATCTACATCCAGACAAAGAAGCTCAAGTTTTGTGAAATTGGGCTAAATAGATGCTATTCAGTTCATGAATGAAATCAGTTTGTTTTAAATAACCAACTATAATGAGTGATTTACATTTGCCGCAAGTTCTTTTCATGCACTAATTTAAACACGACCTCCTCTGTGAAGATTAGTATCAGGGAAAAGGTTGAATGTATTTTGGTTGGTGATTCAGCATCCCCATAAATGCAATTGTCAGGATTTTTACAATTTTTTTGTTTACTAACATCAACTGGGCTTATGCACACCAACTCTCCCATTCATAGTTGCCTCCTTTTCCCTATTGGCCCATTCCTTCCTGGGACAG